CAAACATAGGTGTGTGCGGCCATACATAGGGGTGTGCGGCCGTACACCCTTCATGTTTATGCCCAAAATGTCTACTTTAAGGTGCAACAAGGCTAGGGTCATGTCCAACTCGAAGATAAGGGTCAAACTCTCACTTTGGAGGGTCTTTTAGGAGTGTGCGGCCATCTTATGGGGGTGTGCGGCCGCACTCTCTTCTAGACATGAAGAACATGACCAATATTGCAATCCCATGGCTTAGACAGAGTGGTCTTTCATGGTTTGCAAGTTAGAGGATGAATTACTCACGTTTCTTGAAGCTTTGGAGGGTTCACGGTTGAAGAAGCTTGAGAGAATGGTGTAGTGTGCGGCCAAGGAGTGAAAGGAATGAAAGGAAAGGGGTCTACCCTTTATATAAGAGTGGGTGTGTTGCCATGAGGTGGGTGTACGGCCGCACACCCATGTGTACGGCCGTACACTCCTCCCAAAGGAGTGTATGGCCCGGTTTTGTCACTATATGACTTGTTGACTCATTCCTAACCTCAACCTTGACTGTACCCAAGCTTAGAACACTTAAATGAACCCTTAACCGTGCTAGAAGTTAACAGAACAAGTTTAACATTGATTGAATCGACTAGATGTACAAGGAAGAAGTTCCGGGTTGTCACATCCCTTCAGGGTTATAGCCCGGGTGGGCAGGGTGGCTTATCGGTTGGATCTACCAGCAGAGCTCAGTCAGATCCACAATACTTTCCATGTTTCCCAGTTGCGAAAGTGCTTAGTGGATGATTTAGTGATTGTACCCTTGGAGGACATTCAGGTTGACGACAGCCTGAACTACATCGAGAGACCAGTGGCGACCCTGGATCGCAAGACGAAAACCTTGAGGAACAAGGTTGTTCAGTTAGTGAAGGTGCAGTGGCAGCACCGCAAGGGTTCATAGTGGACATGGGAGCCCGAGGAGGAGATGGGGGAGCCCTACCCGGAGTTGTTTTCAAATGCAACAGACTTCGAGGATGAAGTCTAAGACAAGTGGGGGACAATTGTAACGCCCAGATCCCTGGTATGCATTAAATATTTATTTATTCATTTTAAGAGAAGGACTCGACGAGTTGGTGGCCCTAACTCGTCGAGTAGAAGTCAGATTATGCGCGGGGTTTAAGTTGTCTACTCAACGAGTCGAGAGCCCTCGACTCGGCGAGTAGATCGGCCAGAATGAAACCCTAATTTCGGGGTTTTGCACCCTATTTAAGCATCTTAATCCCCACCCCTTGGCCTCATTTACAGCCTCATTGTCCCAAACCCTAATCCACGAAACCCTAGAGCATCTTATGAGTGTGTGAGCCATTTGTAAGCAATCTTTTGTGTTCTTGAAGCTTGGAGAAGAAGAAGGAGATAGAAGGATCAAGAGGAAGAGGGTAGATCCAGAAACTACACTTATTTGGCTACATTTTTTGGTAATCAAGTTTCTATCTGGACCTCTAGTTCATTAGATCTCTTCCCTTTCCTTTTTATGAAGATTTTGGCCCAAGAATGATAACTTTTGGAGAATGGACGACCAAAGTGGATAATCTTCCAGATCTAGGACTTAGAGGGGTTGTTATGACATAAAGGTGCAAACTTTATGCCATTAGAGCCCCCATGCAAGACATAGAGTGTTATATTGGCCTTTTTAGCCCCAAAAGGCCATGCATGTGGAGAAGGGTTGGAACTTTATGTGTCCAAGTAGTGTTACGAGAGTAAATATGAAGTTGTAAGCTAAAACAGTAAATTTAACTGCAAAAACATTAAGAGTTGAAACTATAGACTTTTTGAAAATTTTCTAGTTTTCTCACACCTTTTTCCCATACGCAATTGAAGAAACACCATCATAATGTCAAACCAAACTTTTGAAGCACAATATAAAAACAACAATAACAATAAACTGATGTTTTATAAATTAGGGAATTGTAACAAGGAACAAAAGAAAAACCCATAGACGCACAATATTGTCATATGATGCTTGTTTACACCTATAAAACCACACAAATTGATAAATTTTTTGATGGTATTATAAACAAACAAATACATAGATATGTTATTTCTTGCATTTACCAATCATCCAACTAAATGAGTAGCATGAAAAAGCCAATCATCTAAAAAGTAGACTTCGTGTTGGAAGCAACCAAATACAAATACTTATCACCATATGATTTTAAAAGATCAGAAGCAGCAATGATAGAAGTCTTGCACAAAGCACTTCTTGAATTCTTCATTGCCTTCACTAAAACCAACACAGTGAAACGACAAATACAATTACTTTGGAAACTAGATTAGAACTTAACACTCACATATGGAATGACATACGTACTTAGTTTCCACATAAAGTTCTTGCAATCTAGAAAGAAATTAACATATTAAAACATATGCCTATCATAAAAGTTTCATACCTAAACCGAATAGATGAAAAATGTGATTGAAGGAATTACACTTACAGATCATAAAAATGATTAGCTCATCTTTCCCCTGTTTCAACAAAAACCTAAATCAAAAGCTTGAAAAACCCACAAAATTCAAGAAATCAAATTGGTTAAAGAAAAGATAGGGTTGATATTCATTTTCTTCTTACCTATATTTGGGTGGATAAGGAGACAAGGCTGATATCTGTACTTGGGAAATCATAATAACAAGAAATGTTATAAATGCTTCTTACACTTAAAAATTCTTCATATGTGCTATAAATTTCAATCAACTTTGATCTTTTAAAGTAACCAAATTAGTATCAAAAGGATGAAAAACGCTTAAACTATTAAGTTATACCTTATGCTTTTTAGCACACAAGAAAAACCCTACATGCTATGAGCACATGCTTTGAACAATCAGTAGTAGCTCGTCTGCAAGCAGGTATGTGAAATGACTTATGATATGTGAAAGATAAATACATATGCATCATTATAAAATTTGGATGTAAGTGACCAGTTTTGTAAGTTTTTCTTCTACAAAATTGTAATATGTACCTGGTTTTTCTTGTTTGGGTGTTTCTCTACTTTGTTAATGAACTGATCAATCTTCTCATATACTTTCTTTTCAAGCTCTACATCACCACATTGCACCTAGAAAAACAAGTTTCCGGCATTAAGTAATATGGATCCTATGATGCAACATTATACCATCATGTATGAAGTAATAAATGAAGATAACATATGTATTAATTAAGGATTTAGATGCTACTTACATATGTAATTTCGAAGAGTTGCAATTTAATGTCTTTGGGTCACACCAGACCTAGTGCTCTGTGAAAGAAAATTGTGTACAAGATGCGTGCAAGTGTATTAGTAGATGAGAAGATTGATCAGTTCAGTATTGGAATGATGAACCAATTTACCTCCGATCTTCCACATTTAAAATCAACAAAAGCAATCTGAAACTATCTGAGATGTATACCAAAATGAAGATATTTACAATCCGATTCTTGAAGTGAACAATATTGACTTGTTGATGAATCAGGATCTTCTCTAAATCACTTTATGTCAGTAAATTTAATAGAACTACTTTGGCAGGTAGCTCTAAAGTGGCAGCACATCCAAATTGAATAGCTAAATCCCTAATATCAATTTGATTCCTGCAATTCATCAAGAAATGATTATTCAATGTTTGATATGATACATTATACATATCAATTGCATAAAAAGCACCATGATGATATGGAAAACAAAAGAGATGAAGAACATACTTGACGCAAATTCCGTTCTACATCACATTGAAAGATCTAATGTAATCCTTTTCAGACTCAACTTTATTGCAATGTGACAATCAAATAGAACTTGCTTTCTACAGTAACTGAACAAAATCGTAACTGGAGAAAATGACTTACAATTCCAATACTAAACGAGTCAAATTGAATATCGGAGACGAGACGGAGTTAAACCGCTTTACAAACGACTTGCTTCGATTCCTTAAGCCCTAACTTTCTTGCAATATCCGACAAATCCAGTTCAAGAAAGAGTGATACAGAAAGAGAAAACAATCGATATTTGGCTTCTGTAATTGTCGTTGTGAATAGCTGGAGATAAAAATAAAAGATCTTTTAGATCTATAGAGACGATATGTCGTCTCTATAGCTTTTCACAAAACACCCAAAGTTCCCGCATAACATATTGAGACGACAAGTTGTCTCTATAAAATAACCGGTCAAAAGAATTTGGTCAATCCAGTGGAGACATGTCGTCCCTATAGGTGCACTATAGTAACGACATTTGTAGTCCCTATAGGTTGCGTCTCTATAGATGCTTATTCTTGTAGTGTTGCATGCATCAAAAAATTGATTCATTGGCCTAATGAACCACATTGTCAAAACTATCGTCGCATTGGGTTTTGAAATGATTAGTGAAGAAGGAGATGAAAGGGAAATTGTAGTTAAGGAGAGGTAATGATCTTTTTTTAATCGGTGGTAACACAAGTCATTAGAGAGATGGTAAAAATAGCAAAAATGACCTTGTGTGCGATGGACGGAGGCAACTTAACGATTTAAAAGGTTGTTAGTTTGAGTGAACCAAATACATAAAAAAATATATGTTCATTTGGACTTGTGTGGTTGAAAACTTTTTAAATCGAATCCAACAAAAAAAAAAAAAAAACAGACCATATGAATCAAATCTGTAGTTGTTTACTTCTATAATTTAATGAATTATTGAAATAATGATCACACATTTTTTACCAACGCTCATCTGGTCGTCCATTAATAGGTACATATGATTTGAAATGAATTGACGTCTTTATATAACAACAAAGGAACATACACGAGATGAAAATTATTTCAAATTCCACTTATGTATCAAACTTTGAAAAACGAAAACAATATCTGATTAGACATTATAAAAAAAAAGATTAAAACCATATATTTCTATTATAATTTTATATACGTGAATATATATCTTATAATTTGATATACGTGAATGTGTCTTCACCCCACATATCATCATGATATGGTACTTTACATAGTGTTATAAAATGCCCTACAAAATGTTTGCCAAAAAGTGTGTGCCCTAGAAAATGTTGTTCACAGTCCAAAGACCAGTAAGAGTGTTTGGTAGTAGTCAATTTCCACCCGCTTGGCCACTTAGATGGACAAAAAGGTCCAACTGGTAGAGAGAGAAACATACATAAATCTAGAGAGAGAAACAAAGCCAAAACAAAGGAGCAAAGGGGTCAAAATGTAAAGAGAATGCATGTGTTTTAGTTTCTGGGATTGGGAATTGTTTAAAGACAGTGGCCATAATTTGTAGACAGAATCTAACCCCCAAATATGGTAACACAAAGGATACCGTCACCATTTACCACCATCTCAGCTTCTTCTTAACACCCATCTTCTCTCTCTACAACACACACGCTCTCTCTCCCTCTCTAAACCCATTATCTGATCATAAGTTTCTTTACAGATTCTCTTCTGTAAAGACTGTAACCAAAAACAAGACACAAGTGGGTTTGGATCTTTGGTTCATCTTCTCTCTCTAAAGCACACGAACTCACACTCACTTACTTCCTCTTCTCTCTTTCTCTAAACCCATGTCTGATCGGTCGTAGGTTTCTTCACAGATTCTCTTTATAAAGACTGTACTCAAGAACAAACACAAGTGGGTTTGGATCTTTGGTTCATCTTCTCTCTCTAGAACAAACACACACTCACACACAAACTGTTGTTAAAAAGTGTGATCCAAGAACAAAACACAAGTGGGTTTGGATCTTTGGTTCGAAAAGTGTTGCATGTGTCACTGAAACGTTAACGCACTTCTTTTAGTCATTTGCTTTTGGTGGCTTATGCGATTTTCAAACTCATGTCTACTCCTACAAAACCTCAATCAACACTGCTGTTCATATGCTTGTTCCTGTTCTTGTTCCTCATGTCCGTTTGTACTCTCAAAAACCCTTCTTCAGGTAAGTAACTTGATCTAAAATCAAATATTTTCTCGTTAATTTTCATCATTTTCATATGTTTATCCTTTTAATCTGATTGTTACATTCTGTTCTACAGTTTATAGATCTGGATTGAATTCCAAAATGCGAGATTCTGATCTGTACTTCCAGGTGAGGTTTTATGTTAATTATATACTTTCTTCTTCTAAAACGAATTCATGTTTATAATCTTAAAGTTCAACTTATTTCTTTTTAATGAAAACCCCAAAAAGACTAGACCTTTGTAGCACTCGTAAATTATTTATTAATCTGTCGTGAAGTTAACCCCATGACCAGACGTCGTTAGAGAAACATGTGGTTCGTCCCTACTTGATTTTTATAGATAGTTATTGTGATGTTGAAAAGGTTTAATTTAGAATCTTAAGGTAAAGAACTATCATTAAAAATAAAATTATAATTAACTTTTAAATTTTCACAATCCACACATAATTTTTTGTTTTAATTGCTATTGACAATCAGCTAACAAATTATTATTTTTACATGTAAATGGCAATTTACAAACGACTATCTTCCGAAGGATCGTAGGAAAACACTCAATCAAACTATTAGTTTTAAATAAATTTTAATAAAAAATATAAAAAATAAAGTAAAATAGGTTTAAGAATAATTTGGAAACAACCTGTATGTTTTTTTAAAAACTTCAAATAAAATTTATATATATGTTTTAGGAAAAGTAAAAGTAACGGACGGGATGGGATGGGATGGGATAGGGTGTTTGACCGAAATTGGGTACAATAATCTGTGCCACTATCAAACCTAGGGCATATGACCAGATAGGTTTCAATTATAGTTTAATAAAAGTACACATAAAAGTTAACACCTTCTAAAATAATCACTGTTTTTATCTTAAAAATACAAATTTAATTTTATAATTTTTTTTATCATTAGTTAATGAGCGTTGTTATTCTGATTAATAGATACACACTTTTTTTAATATTTAATTAGTAAATAGACATCCCTAATTATTTATTGTATATCCTATAATTTGATGTTTTTTTTTGTCAAGCTAGAGGGCTTCTAATAAACAGTAAGGTTGTATGAATATAATTATTTATTGTATATCCTAATTATTTATTTAGTGAATATAATTTTTTAATATGTGTATGTGAGATCAACCACCACATAAGTGAGATGTAGGTGTTTTTTAACATAACACTATTATTAGTAGGATTATTAGTAACTACTGATTCTTTATCTTATCTTAGAAAATATTTAGAAAAAACATATTTTTAGTAGATCTAATAAATATGTCTCAGATGCATGTTGGGTTAAAATATTTAATGACTTGAAAAAGGTTTATCCTAACCTTAACGACTAAATTTTTTTGTCGTGTTGTGTTAACCCGTTTATTTATACGAGTTGAATCTTATACTTAAACCTGATTATTTTGTGTCGTGTTCGTGTCAAATTAACGGTTTAGGGTTTAACTTTGTAAATGTTTCATATTGTACCGAGTTAAAACACTAAACAAGTTGAATATCATACTTTTTTTTAAGTTTTTTCATAAACAATACAAATTAAGTGCATTACCTAGAATTAGTATAAAATGACATAACCACATATCTAGATATAACATCAACCTTACAAGCACATTGATTATTATGATCTTAAAGATGCTTAATCAATATGCATAAAACAACTTCGTTTTGTGTTTTTTCTTTGGTTGGATTTCATTGTTTTTTATTTGGTTTTGGTTTTGAGTCAAAAGAATGTATTACTCCAAAACTTTTTGGATTTTAGATGTCTGGTTTTCTAGTGAATCAAAAGAATGTATTACTCCTAAACTTTTTAGAATGTATTACTCCTAAATTTAGAGAATGTATTACAAGTATTCATGATTAGTATTTACTAGACCCGTGATACGATTATGTTGGTTGAGGTGCATAGTTCTATAAAAGAGATCCATGGCTTAAAATCGGACATACCCAAAATATTGCTACTTTGCAAATGCTTTGATGATTTACTCTCTAGTAATGAGTTGTAGGACGGATTTAACATGGACTGTGCAAATTGTAATGTTAACGATTTTTTATTCAATAAACGTTTTTAATACTAAATTAAATATTATATTCTTTTAATACAAAATGTGTGTTTACATCATACCCTATCTTCTTTCAAGAGCTTTAATTTATAAGCCTAATAAAGGAAGACAAAGTTATTCCCTACTTTCAATTCTTATAAAGTAGTTCAATCATAAATAAAAATAAATGCATTTTTAAAAGGGATTTCAGTACTTATAAAGTTCAATCATAAATAAAAATAAATGCATTTTTAATAGGGAGTGTAGTTTTAATTCAACATCCAAAAACCTATACCATGTATTTTTAAATAATTAACGAGTTTAAAAATAAAGCTTTTAAAATTAAAGTTGATTGAAAATCTATATTATTGTACGTAAAATTTAGCTCCAAGAAAACTGTAGCAGATGTATTAACTCTAAAAAAAATACAAAATTATTTTTTAAATTGTAGCATATGTATATTGTAAAATATTAGCAAACTTATTTTTAAAATAAGTTTTTGGTAAACCCAGATATCCAATCCAAACCAACTGTTAATAGCTATATGAAATGATATAATAAGGGGTACGTGGTTGGTTTGATGTATTTGAATGGTTCTAAAAAGGATTTAGAATTAAATACTAAGGTATGAAAAACTACTTTCATTGAAGTATCAAAATCTCCACCATCCCAAGATTTCTTGAATACCAATTCATTGAAATTTTAGGTTTAAGTTGAATTTGTATTCCTTTATTGCCCCTAATTTTTTTCTTTCTTTCTCTAAATTATTTTTACTTGGTGATGATTAATATTCATAAAACACAATACACATTTTTAATATGATTATTAATTTTGTTTAATATTCTATGATATTTTTATTTCATAATTCAGTAAAGTATGTTTTTGTATGATAACAGTATAATTCAGTTTGTAGTTAAAAGTTATGTAGACAATCAATTAATAAAAGTATAACTTAATATTTTTTATTATTATTTATTCATATTATGATGATAATTTTTATAAAATAAATAAATAGATAATTTTTTTATTTAACATAACTATTTTCAAAACCATTTTGCAACTCAAAGAAAATCTCAAAAATTATGGAATTGACTTACATTCTAAATCTTACTAACCAAACAAAATATGATTTTCAAAATCCTTGCAATTTTAAATCCTTTCAAATACAATTTTAAATCCTTGCAAGACTAAAAAACAATCTCACAATTCAAATTCCCCTTACATACAACAAAATTTGATTTATAATATTATGAATAAATAGTATTTTTACTAATTTAAACAAATACTAATTTAAGTTTAAAACTAAAATAAGATTAATAAGAATGCAAATCAAAAGAATGGTGTTCGAATGATTATTATTAGCTTGGAAGGCGCACGTTAGCCACTGACCTTGTGACCCCAACACTCAGTCCTTTGGAGAGGGACCCAGCCCCGTGTAAATCGGGGTCATGTGCGCTAATAAGTTCAATTCCCGTGAACCCCGCCTTGTCTCCTATGCTAAGCGCATGTTAGCTACTATCCATGTATACGAGACTGATTTAATGTACTGTACTACTCTTAAAGCATGGCGTACATAGTCTATCTTCATAACTGATATGGCTTTTTTGTGTTGTGATTTGAAAAGGCAATAAGCAAAGTCAAAGTCAAAACCACTAGTGAAGAGGAGACTACGTCTCATACCACCACCACCAGAAGAAAATTAGGCGGCCCTGGATCATCACCGCCACGTTGCGCCTGGAAGTGTGGGCGGTGCACCCCCTGCAAGCCGGTTCATGTTCCGGTGCCGCCTGGAACACCGGTGACCGCCGAGTACTACCCGGAAGCTTGGAGGTGCAAATGTGGAAATAAATTGTACATGCCATGATGCATGCCTATTTGATTGGTATTTACTAGCTAGATCTTTGTTATGTTAACTACGAGGGGGTATCTTGTCATTAATGGATTTAGGAGGAGTGATATTTAAAAAACAAAATGGAAAATATATAGAAGCTTCATTAATCTATAGAATATTAATTCTAACCTGGTAGCCTTTTCATTTCATAGTTTTCATTTACTTATTAAGGAAAGTTTTTTTTATTAAGTTTTGGTGTTGTTTTTCTATTATGTATATGTTGGGTAAAAGTAGTTGTTAGCTGGTAGTTAAAAGTTGTAGCTTTTAATTATACAGAAGTGTGTCATAAGTAGTTAGCTTTAGTAAATGTATAAAATTATTTATAACTTAGAGAAGGTAACAATTTCTTAAAATTTATTTGAAATAACTTTTGGATTCGAAATTTTTTGTTTAAAATAAAAACTAAAACCTCTGAAATTGACTTTTTTTTAGCTTTTTTCTTAAAAGTCCCATGCTAAACTCGCCTATGGAAACTTTTTTTTTTAAATGAGATGGTCATAAGATTAAAAAAAAACTATGCAAATGATTTTAATATTATTAGAATTGTGAAAAAAATTCAATATCAGAACTTATAAATTACAAAAAAAAAATAATAATAATAAATGAAAAAGTTTTGAGACAAAAACTCACAATATATTTTTGACTTTAAAAAATTTATTTGATTCAAAAAAATTTCTTAATAAGCTCTTATTGTAGATTCTCTAATCAAAGACCTTGATTTAATTACAAACAAAAATACATAAAGTTTATAGAATGTATAAACAAATATTTAATCTTAATTCTTATTAACGTTGCACTTTCACATAAAATAAAAATAGAGCTGGCAATACTAAATAACAAGTCAAAAAGTTGGGTATTTATTTACATAAAATGGTTTGACATCATATATAACGAAGGGAATCTATTACATAGGGGTATAGGAGGAATGTTTATTTTAGCCGTACCAAAGTGGTTTACACTTGCTTTTTGGTGACAAGTAAACATCCATTTTCCTGTTTTTATCAACTACAGTCTTACACACACGTGGGCTCATCGTCTTCACCTACCCATTTTCAAAAATGGGTCCTGGGTGGGTGGTCCGGACCCATGCTAGCCAACATTATTCAACCATGTAATGTTGTACGTCGCCATTGCCCCCACCATCCCATTCGTGTCACTTCCATTTGCACAACCAGACACCTGAAAGGCTGCAACTAATCTATCTGTCTCAATCCCTTGGCCTTGGTATATATATAATGGATTGGAATCAAAACATATACCCATGGCTTATATTTGTTTTGTGTCAAGGTAGATAATTAACATGGCTTTCAAGTTGGTGTTACATCAAATCAAATAAAAATGGCGATCATTTTTGCTAAAATACATACCCATGTTTTATATTTGTTTTACGGCTAATATATGTTTTCAGATTTACTTATAAAATATAACTATATAGTTCAATAGATGGAAGGCAAACGGACAACAATCTGCACCGCTGGCCCTTTCTGAATGGCAAAACTGATTCTTTTGAAAACCAAATATATGGATCTAGGATATATAACATTAGAATGCATGACCTGTTGAACTCTGTTGAGGAGCTCCGCCACCTCTGGTGCGAGAAAACTAAATGTATCAAATGCAAAGGTACAAACACATGTTGATTTTCTATAAATGCATGCTCGTGCTTTGCCACTTTGCACGCAACGGCTTTCAAAGCGGCATGCCCTGCAGTGAAACCCCCGCTCCTCAAACCGACGAGAGGAGAGGCCCCAGTAAGATCCACACAAACGTGTTTCCCTCCTACCCATCTAAAGACCAAAATGTCAGCCGACCTGAGTGTGGATCTTCCATCCTGCGGGTCCATCAAAAAGTTCACTAGCGCTTCTTTCTTTATAGAAATACCAGCATGCCGACAAACATCAAAGAGAACATCTCTAACCACATCATGTCGGTACATGAAATCAGGGAGCTCTCTACAATGAACCGCATGTTCCCCAAAAGTGTCCAAACAAGTCTTGCGGCAAACTGGGCATATCTCGTCAATTGGGAATAGATGAATCATGAGGCGGTAACGAATGATAGTTCAGTACTCCATAGGAGACATATGCTAGTCGAGGCCATCAATTGGGATAGTTAGCAGAAAATCATGAACATGAGGTGCCCGAAGACACTCAAAAAATGCTTTCTGTCTAACAGTCATGTCGAAATCGACTTCCAAATCTTTGACGATTTTGCTAAAAAGGTCACACGCCAATGCTTTTTGGGAATTAGGGGGGGCGGTGTCCTTATTAGTGAAACCACTACAGTCGAATCCTGGAATCGTATCGCGAAGACGAATCAAAGCACATAGGTAATCAGAGTCCATACCACATATGTCACTGTCACGTAAGATGTGGTCTTGTAATGTCCAAAATTGGGCCCTCGAGGCTACAAATGCGTAGGACGAATCAAAGCACATAGGTAATCAGAGTCCATACCACACACACACACACACACACGCACACACACACACACACACATATATATATATATATATATATATATATATATATATATATATATATATATATATATATATATATATATAAGTAGGTTCATGCGAAAATATAAATATTTTGTAAAAATACGAAAACAAATTTTATCTTATAAAAATCAAACACATGCACTTTAGAAATCAAATTTATTAGCAATAAATTAAAGATGATAAGTTTACATTGGAGGGTGTGTACGAACCGATAAAGGAGAACTAGATTTGTCCCTACTTTGATTGATCTATATCGTATGAACGATACAACCGTTGATAAATTGCAAGCAACGAGTTTAATATCCATCCTTGTTTCCGTTTCATGTTATTAGCATATTGTTATGACCCATTCAAAACCCAATAGAACCAAAATGCCAGTAACAATTTCATATATATCAACTTTGGTGGCTACTAGTGATACACAAAACATAACATTTTTGGCATTTTAACATTGACTGTGTCAAAATCGATCAAAATCTCAAAAAAAAATTACCAAAGGGAAATCAACTTTCTTACCTTTTTATGATTATTATAGGTAGGGAAATCAATGGAAACAAAAGTAAAAAGAGGTGAAGGAAGATGGTGTATGTGTGGGGAAAACTTCAACATTTGTGCACATGCATATGAAGGACATGCATCTGAAGGGTCATAGAGACCAAAAACGTTTTGGATTTCTATGCCCAATATCTTTTCGAATTTTATGTAGATAAAGGATGTTAAGAAAATGTTGAAATTCAGACTTGATATTTAAACATTCTGATAGTTAGTATTATGAACTAATCACGAATTATTTAGAATTGACAAACAAACGAATGGACAAATAATATTTATGATTAAATATCCAAAACGTTTTCACAAACAACCAACGATTAATATAGAAGATTAAATGTTGAGATGCCACAAGATAAAAAATCCAATTATATTATTATTGTTACCAAGTTTGTCTAGAAATCAAATTGATCCTTCGCGATCAAATCTAATTATAAGAAATGAGTAGAAGCATATTGTCCGGTTATTGGACGAATTTAAATCCGAAACAATAAACTACAACCAACATGTTTATAGTTGATCTCGATTTGTAGAAACATGCACGAATCTAGCTCCTATCCTTAAAGGTTTTTACTTCGCTTCTATCGGTTGTAAGCAACCGAGTAAAACCCCACAATTTAATGCAGACTTATTGGTTTTCCAACAGCAATGGAAAACAATAAACGCAAAGCGAATACTTAGAAACCAGGAAGAAAACGCCAACAGAAAGAGCTGTGAATTTTCGAGCATCGAATACGACTCCTAGAGAGTTGTATTTATAGGTGTCGAAACCCTAGAAAGCAGCAAAAGGCCCTCATAGGCCGGCCCCCTAGAAACTTTAGGGCGATGCCTTGCTCTCCAAGCAAGCGATTTTTCGGGCCTTCTAGAACATTTCGACGCGAATCGAGGCGCGAGCCCACTATCGCGACCTGATTTCCATGAACTGGATTTTGTCATACTCAACGGATCTCTAACCTGCTAAAAATATAAGCTCCTTAGCTCCCAGCGACCAATGCATCATGTGAAGTGCGCCTAAATCACGCCATTTCGCGTACTTGCGACATCGACTAGGCGCGCGTGTATGGACTTGGCCCATCCATTGATCCACGAAAGCCTTTGAAGGCCTATTAAGAGAAAAGCATTATAAACCCACTAAATGTTTCTTCCCCCACCAATGTGGGATAACAGAAACTAGCCAACTTTCTTATTCCATTAAAATTTCCAACAATCCCCTACCAAGTTGGAAAGTTTCCTTTCACTCAGACATATGATGTCACTTTGTGTCAAGAAGATTAAACCCTAGTTTAATGAGGACAAACAAGAAGAGACCAATTCAATGGTATCCTTATAGGTTTTAACCATGAACCTTATGACCTCTCCGGTTCACCCCCACATATCGCATGCCATCTTTGCGTTCTCCTTGAGCGCTAATATGGACATGCGCTATAAATCATTTTCATGACCCTTTAGAAGATGAACCACTAATCTTCACTTGAGGTGGGAACCACCTCTAGATCATATAGACAACATTTTACAACATCCCCGTTGCTTAGATGTCTCCAAAACTTTGTTAAAAGCCTTAACTCTACCCTTTTCTCGGCAACGACGTATTATCCTACCTCACATGGATCTACCATTAATGATAGTACTTTCTATCATTAGTGACTTAATTGTTACCCTTTAAACTTGAGAATTAGGAGCACTAATGTCAAGTTCGGTTTTCGTCACTAAGTGATTCTATTGTGGTTTTAAACCCATGAATCTCGTGGTAGATGTAACCAAATCTATCGTCAGAGGTTTGGTAAGCGGATCTGCCAAGTTTCTACTTGTCTTGACATAGAAAACTTTGATGGTACAACTCCCAATTAGTTTTATCACAAAATTATGTCTCAGACCTAAATGTCTCGACTTCCCGTTATATACCTTTAACGTCCCAAAAGTTAAGACTAAAAATTTCAATTTTTAAATTAATTAAAACCATTATCCAAACAACACCATAAAAACCATGGTGAATCAAAGTGTATCGATAACATCCAAGTACATCAGAGTAATATAAAAATGCGGAACGA